CCCTGTGCAATTTATTTACTGTAGGACAGTGATTGGGAAGAACAGCTGGTTTTTCTTCTCTTCACTTTGCCCCCTGGATTGATTTCTGGGCAAGTACCGCTATGAGCCACCAAGAGCTAATTATAACCATTTCTGCCACAATTCAATTCTTTAAAAAATTGAAGATTGTTTGTTATAGAAAATATCAAGCTAACTTTCAATTATCCAAAGTTTTTTAGAGCTGTCATTCACTTCAACTAAATAGGCCTTACCTTCACAAGCATGTCCAATACAGAATGAAAACCTTGAAGCTGGGGGCTTTCATTTTGATTCAAAACACAAAGAGACAGTACTTACACTGCAGCTCTGGCACTGGAGAAGGATTGGCATCACACATCTTAAATCTGTCCATCAAAACATTAATTCCAGTTTCTGGGTTGAATGCGTATACAATATTCTATGAACAAATATCAATGATAAATGTATTTTAGCAAAACATTGTTCTTAATGAGTAAGTCATGTTATGGTATATGAAGATACACACACCTCACACCATTTTCAGCTTTTAATTATCCAGTCTTAATTTACGACCCTACACCTGGTTAGACTAATGATCTGATTCAGAGGCATGACAAAGTGAGCGCGCCATGTTTCTGTTGATCAATCTTTACTTTGAACACCAAGAGATTAATGAAATTTGAGTTTTATATCTGTCTAGAGGTCTAACAGTCCAGCAGGATTTGTACGTCTCTTTAAATCATCAGTAGCACCTCCGAAACATTGATTGGAGACTTGAACTAACTTTCTTGTATACTGTTGGTGTAAAGCTGCCAATTGTTGAAAGAGATCTAAAAATCATGTTGGTCTGTTTACCTTAAAGACCAGACTTCATGGGGCTTTGAGCTTTTGAGACTGGTTGAGGTTGGGAGAAAGAAAAAAAGCATTTTTATTGTTGTCATATTAATTCTTCCATTGTTTCAGATATTAAGCCTACATATTTATTTTATGTATTACAATGTAGTTCAGCTCCAGTCTTGGAGCACATGTGTGTCTCCACATTTCATTCCATTTCACTTTTTAATAACTTGAACCAGCTCGTTGTTCGATTAATTGGACCAATTTACCCACATCCCTCAATTCTTCAATTGGTGGTGCATTGAAGAGACCCAGAAAACCTGTCATGTTAATACTGTCACTTCTGTCTTGAGAAGTCCACACAGTCACAAGATGTTGATATAAATCATAGCTAATGCTTTCTTCAGTAGCAATGATGAAAAATAAACTGTAGTGAAGGCTAAATCATATTTGGATTAAAGAAATAAAAGTGAGAATAGAAACACCTACCACTGCTATGGTCTATGTTTTATTAGTTTTCATTTCCCTCATTAAGAATGTGAAACTGTTTCTTACTGTGTATGTTCCCAAATACACCAAATGGTATTAATATGAATGTTTTAATGTGCCCCTTATCTTCAATATACCTAAGGACTTATGTACACAGTATGCACAGTTTTGTGAGTAACAGTGAAAGAAAAGCACATGGTTAAATTTGGTTGTTAAGACACAGAGCTGTAACATCAGTAGATGAATCACAGTATTTGGCTGTGACATAGACTGTGCTGAGAAGGAAATGTAAATTGGAAGTGAGGATGTGGGTCATGACATACAGCAAAGCCTTTATAAAAAGAAAAGATGTACAGTAGGTAGCTGAAATGACTGTATTTGAATATGGGAAGTTTTATCTACCATTTACATATACACGCACCTTATTGGATGAGGTTACATTTGTAGGTGATAAATAGAAATCATCTATTTTTTAAATAAAAAGGGGTTGCAAATGTATTATACAATGTGTCTTACTACATCATTAGCAACAGAAAAACCCAAGGATATCTCCTAGATAGTCAGTGCTTCAGCTGAATAAGTAGTCCAACTCTACCTCTCAGCAATGGGTATACATTTAATTGAATTTCTTTGAATTTCATGTCCATTGGTTGTTCAGAGCAATGGAGGCGAATAAAACAATCCTGGAAATATGAAATCAAGGATTAAAATCTATTCTCTGAGACCTCTACTGAGAATACCTCACTTTTCCTATTAATGTCCTATTGAACTGCATACTGTAGATTGTACCAAAGTGAATAAAAAAATATATACAGTATATATATTTTATTGATTTTCAAAGAACAAAATATGACAAATAAATAATTATGAAAAATGAGGTGCTTACACAAAGAAAGGGGTTGAAGAGGACAACTTAATCAAGTTCTGAAGTTGAGAAAGTGTCTGACCGAGCTGTAACAGTGTTCGTACAAGTAAAAGGTAATCCAGCCATACCTTTACTGGAAAATCCTTTCTCAATTGGCAACGAATGCCACCATTTGATAGTGCAACTTAAGGGAATTTCTTTCTCTACCCAGACTAGTAAATTATTTTTTGTTTGCAGTAAGACCTTTTAAATAAAAGATATTGCACCTGAAATGCAAAGTGACTTTGTCATTGAGGAGGAGCAGTCAAGGGTGAAAGTCAACATTGTTTGTTATAAACAAATATGTATTAAACATCTTGATGTGCAAATACATTAATTATAAATGTATATTTGGGATATTGTCTTTAAATTTACAGTCCATGCAATCTTATGCATAAATGGGGCTCTGTAAATAGCTAACAAAATATTGCTTGGAGTCTGCTAGTTTGATTTCTTCAATACTATTCAATACTGGATATCAGCAGTGTGGGACTATGATACTTTGGTGTTCAAAGTTTTGTGTTATGGTTGAATTCCTACGCTTGATGAGGTCTTGTCCACCGAGAAATAAGCTATTTTGTTAAAAAAAACACATTTACAAAATGAAAAGCAAGATGTTTTAATGTTTGTGATTAACCCTGGACCTGTCTAAATATTCACATGTCTTCCTTCTTTCCTGGAAATTCTTTTCAATTCCTAGATTCATGAAGTACAGAATAAAGGTTACAGTGGTTTTCACAATGCTGTCATGTGTATCTGATTTGTGCTTTCAGAAGATGTAGGATACTAATAACCCTGTTGTCATGTCCCATCTGTTGTTCTGAACAATGGCCAGGGCAAAGCACAAAGGACAAGGATCCCTTCAAGTGAGCCTATAGTAGGACTATCTCTAATAGAAGATCTGGACATCTTTGGTATTCAAAACTTTTTTTTTTAATTAATGAAAATTATGCATTGGTTCTGCATTGCAGCCCACCTCAAGAAGCTAAGAAATGTTGCATATTGCATGTTGTAAGAGGCATTTTAAATCAGGCAGTCAAAGGTGAAGGCTAGTACTTTCTGAATGTTTAAAGCATTTGTAATATGCTAGCTTGAAAATCATGATGTCTTTAGACACAGTGGATAAGTATAATTATAAGAGTGAGATGGACAAAAGTAATCCCAGGACCTATGCATGTTTTATGCAATAGACTAACAAATGACACCAAGTTACATTTCATTTCTGTTTATATGTACTTTCATATAATAAGAATTTGCCAACAAAACATTTGGGTAAATGATCAATTTAAAAGCAATTTGTTGAGTGGTATAAAACACAATCCTTAGTCTACGCTTAAAATGATTGCTTTTCTTCTCAGTTTATTTCAGCAGTAAGGGCTATTCCTCCCAATCCCATTGAGGTTTCAAAGTCCATGCCAGTAGCACCATTACTGTGTTTGATATGTTTTTGTTTTAATTGTTTTTGTTTTAATTTACGTTTTACAGGCTGCAACACTCCACAATTTCATGGTCAAAGACTTTCCAAATTATTTAATAATGTTCTGATTTGCTTGCCATCAACCTGAGTTCAAATGTATACCCTAAAGGTTATATCGCCTAAGGACAGCTCTTGGAAATCATTCACAGTGCTCATCCTGCTGAAAATGTACTGGAGTGAGAAGTGTGCTCTCTTTCAGAGTAGAGAACCCATTGGTTATGGTTTCTCCATGTTGTATGGCAGTTTTATTTAAGGTTATCCCATAATATTTAAATGTTGACCTAATTCACTTGCCACCTTGGAGTATTGGATATGAGATAATTTAATTTGTTTCTGAAAGAGCAGTCAATCACATATTTATTGCCTGGCCCTTAACAGATCTGAACAGAATCAGTCCCTGATTTTTCACACAACACTCATTATTTGAAGCTCCACATGTCATGTCAATCCTGATAGAAATTGGAATTGGCTTTTATTAAGCTATCACTGTATAGACCAGGAAAGGCAGCACTTTTTCTCAAGACTTTTTGAGAGTCAGTGAGTTAAGACATGTTTTTTTAAAAGGCGGCGTTTTATTTAATTTAGGAATAAGACAGTCTTGAAACCACTAGTAAAAAACAATCAAATAAGCAAACATATTTTTTTTACTTTTTTATCTTAAGTATTTTCACCTTGAGGGTTCTTAGAGTTTAACTTTTAGATCATCCTGTAACAGAGTTCTTGTGGTTTTTGCATTATTATTATTATTATTATACATTGCGTGGTTACTAGAACATACTATAAACAATACAAAGAGGAATTGCAATGCAGTGCATTGAGGCAAAAGCAGAGTAAAATGATTAGTAACCTCAAATGTCGATCTAAATTATTATTGTTAATTAAAAACAAAACAAACAAATAACAGACCACTAACGTCTGCGCGTCTCCTACTCCCACCGTATTTACAAAAAGTGTACACTTCATACCCCGAGCTCGTTTTTAAATCGAGGGGAAATACAGTAGTTGTGAATCCGCATTGCTTTCAGTAGGTACCGATATGCTCGCGTTGTGTCAAATGCTTCTTAGCGAGGTAAAGGATGCGATTTATGAGGACATCGGTGGAGCTGAGCAGATCCCAGTGATTAATCAGTAGATTCTCATCCTCTGGCATCTTTCGCTTGCCCCTGTTCTGTGATGTAAGATCACACGTACTCAGCATTGAAAAGTCAAGACACACGGTCTCTGTTCTCTCTCCACCCCCCCCGTCTCTCCCTCACACAGTCTCTCTCTGCACACACATATATACACCTACAAATCCTGCTGAAAGCAGGGAGAGGAGGAAGGCTGGCTCATTTAACAGACGAATTTCAATTGACATTTCTAAATTGCGCTGCTAGACTCAAGGCTGGCTCCGACTTGAGAGAGTGCAGTGAAGCAGTCGGAGTCTTCTTTCCGCAACGATGTCTGAGTTTGTTTTAGCCTTTTTAACCATATCGGGATTATTTACAATTGCTAAGGTGCAGGCAACAGTGGGAGCAGATCAAGGTAAGAGCGCTTCATCTGCAAGGCAGGGGATTATGCGAGATCTGTTGAAAACTTAGTGCGCTGACTTGGTACTGACTGCGTAACCGGGGGGTTGAGTCCTGCAAACCACTTACCGTACGCTTGTTTTGTTTTTTGTTTTTGTTTTTCCCAGGATGATAATGATGATTAGTATTATTCATGTACGTGCCGGTAGATGATTTATACGGGGTGTTACAGATTCTGGTCAGGTCTTGATAAGTCTGCTGCTGCTGATGCAGTCGTTGAGAGTTTTTATCGTACCTTTTTTGTAGATTATGGAGAGTTTTTTTTCCACGTATGCTCCAAAGAGCTGCAAATTTGATTTGAACAAAAGTAACTCCGCGATATGCATATGGAAGAGGTAGCAAGTGTACAGTCTGGTCAAAGCACTTGCAGCCGGCAGAACAGTATCTCCGTTTGCAGGAAGTAAACCCTACAGTTGGACTTGGCAATAATCAGTGGAATTTAGTTTGAATGGATGAACATACATTTTTCTAACAGTACAATACGTGTTGATATAATGTGATACATAATGCGAATATATGATGATGATCATAAAATGATCAGATTTATTTTCCTTTTTATGTCTATCAAGCCACGTGTGACCGATTTAAAGAATGAAAGAGTCACAACGTGAAATTACATTAATTAACCTCGTTGCCAAACAGCACTAGAAGTATGCTGCTGGTAATCTGATAATGAGTCTGCTATTTTCAGACTATTTGCGTTGATAATACTCGGAGTTGTGATCCAACATAAAAGTTAAGTCTATTTATCCGTGTTCGCTGTCTTGCTACTGTATTTATTGTGAGGTATTGCTACAGGACATCCATCGAGAGCTTATTACTTTTTTATTGAAACCTGTTTGCACAGTGTTCTCCTCTGTATTTAAGGCAATGTTTTACAGTACATATCGTAAGTAAACCGGTAATTTTATTCTCTACGATTGACATACAATATTTGTATACAAGGCGTTTTAGATAAATAATCGGTGGGCGATGTATTAATGTCAACGATTGAATTAAAACATAACGATCGGTTATCGCATTAATTCTCAGGGGTAGTTTTATTCTCGTACGTCACTTGCAAAACCTGTTTCATATATTGATATTCGGATCTGTAAACGGGTAGGTGACGCGTGATTTTTATTACCACGCCAGCCTAACAAGGTAATTCAAAGAGAAGCAGCGATTTGGATATGCCGGGCAGGGTTTTTCGATGTTTTTCTACCTTGGCAGGCATTTGCACAGAATTGTTTTGTAAACTAACGAGAAATAACGATCTACTTAAACACGTTTTTGAGTCATACAGTCTGTCCGTTTACAATGGCAATAGGCACAAGATTAATACATCTTTATTTAACACAGTTTTGAGTCATTCCTCTCTAGGTTCCGGTGGGTAATTCCAAACCAAATGATCCAATTTTGAGAGACAAGGCAAGGTTAAATAATGGTGATCCACAGAAAATTTAAGTTCGGTTGACACAGCTGCACTTAAATCTCTCAACTTTTAATTTTGTTTTAATCCAAAAAGGCGTTTATCTAAACCAGTTATTTGAGATTATTTAGAAGAAACCTTAAAATAGGTTATACCGTAGTCTGTTTATCTGTTGCTAGGGATACTTTCTTTTTGTCCATTGTGTAAGTACAATTTAGGAAGGTTAGTGATATTTAAATGGCAATTGCCCTTGGACCACTAACAGTTCTTGTAGTGTTAGATTTAATTGCAGTACGTGACACAACTGGTCACACAATTGTTAGAGCCTGCTTTAGAAATACATCTGGTTGTTTGGCTGACAGTGCTTGCTTTGGATCTTAATCTCAACGAATAACAATAACACATGGAAGTACACAGTATAGCTCTGACCAAGGTGGGGGGTGGTAGCTGGAGGGTGGTACCTCAGGGATCAGTCCTGGGAACTGTGCTGGTGCTGATGTACAGTACTGCACATACTGTACCTGTTGCAGTGCAGTCACTCAGCTGGTTCCAAAGATTGTTCAGACCCCCTGTCAGTGTACTGGTGTTCTGGCTCTGTGGTTTGGACTCTCGGTTGGTCCATGCAAGTGCTGGTAGGTGAGACAGAGACTGGTTGGGCAACCTTATGCTCCACGTTACTTCCTTCCATATACAGTAGGTACATGTTTCACTGGATTATGAGAACATTTTTCAATTCATCAGAACTGTGACGTATTTACTTTTCCATGTTAACACCCAGTAAAAACAGATGTCCTGTGACATCTTTGACAAGTAAAGACTATGATTTTGAGTTTTTGATCCCAAAACCAATTGTCTAATGCATTTTCAAAAAGTTTCTGAACAATGAAAGTCCTGAATACTGTACATTATACAAGTGGGTTACTGTGGACCAGGCTTTGGCTGAAGTTCAATACAAAGTGTTTCAAAGTGAATGAAAATAGTTTGCACTTCATCTGAAAAAAAGCAAACATCCCTCTTAAAACTCTTTTTAAGGTTAAGAGATTGTAAAGCTCTTCAGTGATGTCTGGAATTCTTCACTACTGCTTTCCTATGACGTATCAGAACAGCTTCATGTTTATTGGGGTTATCTGTTACAGGGCTATATCTGTAATGTACCACTCACAGATTTTTATTAAATTGAACATTGAAGACTTGGAATATAAATTTCCACATACAATATAGGTACATCCGTAGCAAAGCAGTACTGTATTATTCTTTAAAATGTTTGATTATGAGAGTAGTAGAATCTTTTTCACAAATTTGCTGAAATGGTTTTCAAAATGTAAAGAAGCTACCTGTTTTTTTATGTTTGTCATGTTTAGATTGATAAAATCCGCAGTTTCTTAAATTGAATGAGATAATTGCAGAGCCAGATAGACATGTCCTCTTATGCTTTTTGTGCGTGCATGTCAATATCCTTTCTTAAAACTCTCTTTAGCACACAACTAAACATTGCATACAATGACATAATTTTAATTCCATAGAGCTCTATTTACAGAAATCTGTCTAAACAACCAAGTTTTGAGTTTAAACCATTCTGTATAAAATTAGCTCGGAAAATCTGATGCTGAATAACATAAGCTTTTTGAGCCATTGCAAAAACAAGACAGGAATTCATTTAGCTTTTTCTTTGAAATCTCATTTTTGCTGTTTTCATAAGAGTGTAGTGTTAAAATTAGTTTAGAGTTACAGTAAGTCACATGTTTGATGTTCTTATTCCAAGTTTTGTAAAATTTGTACTTTGGTTTTAAATAATTTGGTAAATGAGAATTTTACTTGTGAAAACCAAACTTACCATTGTCTTACTGCTCGGTTATTAAAGAGAGACAGTGTTTTTATTTTATGTAGAAACCCATCAGTCTAAAATCAGTTAATACATTGCATTTTTTTAAAGCATCAAGAAGTGGAAACTGCATATACTCTATTGTACGTCCCATGTCAGTCTAACATGGCTAAGAGTCCTTGATAACTGCATTCTCTCTTTAATTACCAGGATTGTTTAAAGTAACCTTATATTATATTGTTTCATTAAAATGTGAGAAACCATTCCATGACATCATAATATACATAAGTATGTTATATTCACTGGTGAGTTTCACCACATTTGGGAAATTTTATTGGTGCATTTATTTTTTGATTATCATGTATCCTTGTTTTTCTATCTGTATATTGTTACATCTTGTTTATAAATTCTCTTTTTGATCTGTTTGTAGTGAGTGTGTTTATTAATGTTAAGTGTTTGGCGGCAGTGTGGGTCTTGTACTCAGATTACTTCTATTGGATAAAATTGGCAGACACATACAGTAAATTAATAATTGAAAATAATTTGAGTTACTGCCTGTGGTAGCTTATGATCTTAATGATCTCTACTGGACTTTATGAATACTGTATTTGTACTGTATGTATTACTGTTTAAGTAAAGGTTAATTCTGACCTAATGCTGAAGTGGAGGAAGATAAAACAATGTTTCAGCTGTTAACCTTTTTTCAGGTTTTCACACTTGAGGAAGGATTAAGAGCTTTATTTCTTTCTATATTTCTAAACAGGAACTTTGCTTGACAATGGTTATAGAGCACTTGCGTGTTCCAACATTGCAGTTTCCTCTAGAATTCATCTGTTGTTGGAGAAGTTCACTGCCCTTATCTTCTTTCCTTATTTCTCTGTGTATGCCACCTATAAAAGATGTCAGGATCCATAAAGAATGATCATTTCACAAGTCTTTTTTTAAAGAGACGTGAGGCATAGAAAACTTTGGCTTAAATCTCTGGGACGAAGGTGTGACATCATGGAGAATTATAAGTCAGAGTAGCAGAGGGGAAAGACAACTTGGTTGCTTACTGTATCTCTCCTGAACATTGCTTAATGACTCCTTATGTGAATGTGCTCCTATTTATGAACAAAAGTATTTCACTTAATAAATGCATTTTAGCACTGTCCTGCAAGAATTGTACTTTTAATTTAATTTTTTTTGAAAACCTTTAGTTGAAGTATTGTATTTAAAATTATTTTGATGCCTACAGAAAGTTGTGATATTTAATGTCAGGTACAACATACAGTATGTCATACAGTGAGTCATTAAAATAGATTATTATATTCTTTTATTAATATGTTTGTGATATTGTTGTACAGATGCAGCCATTAGAATGCGTGCCTGTAGCTGTACAATAGGGATGTGTGGCACCTCGTTCTTATTTTTCCCCAATTGTCAAACGCAGGACTGCACTACTCCGTAATGCAGCCAGGTGTCATAATGAAGACTTTATCTTCCCAATCTCGATGCTGCTGCACATTGGTGTGCTGTCAATAGAGGTCAAGTGTGAATTAAAAAAAAACATTTAAAATGGAATAAAATATTTTAAACATATAAAACACACAATGACCCCTCAAAAACATCCAAAATGTCATCATTAAAATATGGATCACTTACTCAGAATGTTGGCTTTTCTTGACCACATCATGAATGCAGCAGTTAAAATGATTTTTTATTCATTTTTGGCTTCTGAGAG